TGGCTCACTCGAGAGAGTGCGGTGCTGATAACACCAAGGCCACGGGTTCGGATCCTATATAGGGATGGTCGGTTCACTCACTTGGGAGAGCGTGGTGCTGACAACACCAAGTCAAGGGTTAAGATCCCCTTACCGGTCATCTTTTTTAAAAAAAAAAAAAAAAGAAGCTGCTGATGGTGTCCATGGGTCTCCTACTCTATTTCAAATAGTTTAGAAAAATAAAAACACAAACAAAAAATATTTATCTGTGTGTGCATAGATAAACCAATTAGGATAAATATTAACAATTTTTGAATCGAGGTGGCAGAAATATTGGTGTTAACTTCACTATATTTTCACCTTTTCTGTTTGAAAATGTTCATAATAAAAAGTTGGAAAATAGGGCTGGCCGGTTGTCTCAGCTGGTTAGAATGCAGACTTATAACACCAGGGTCAAGGTCTTGGTTCCCCATACCAGCCAGCAGCAAAAAGACAAAAACAAGAACAAAAATGTTGGAAAATATGTTAAGGAAATGCACATTGAAGAAAAAAAATATGTGTGTGTTTGTGTTTGTATACAGAAAAAAGAGGGAAAGGGAAAGCTATATGGGTGTCCTTTCAACTTTTCTGTAAGTTTGAAATCATTTCCAAATAAAAAATTAAAAAGTGAAAGGAATGGGCTGGCCCGTGGCTCACTTGGGAGAGCGTGGTGCTGACAACACCAAGTCAAGGGTTAGGATCCCCTTACCGGTCATCTTTATTTAAAAAAAAAAAAAGTGAAAGAAAAAAAAAAACATCCTGGCACACATAAGACTTTAATATTTTTTTTAAAAATCTAAACAAAAAAATTTTGAAAAAAAAAGAAAGCAGATTAAATCAATTTTAGTTTCTTTCATGAAAGCAAAATTTGTTTTAACCACTCAAATAGGTCTCTGAGACTGGAAGAAAAAAAAGAAAAATTAAGAACAGACCATTCTAAAATTGTAGGTTTAGTATTAAACTTTTCCATTTCAAAGCTGGAGGGCAAAAAAAACCATAAATGACTTTGCTTCTTGCACTCCAGCAAGGTCTGGCCTCCAAGCCTTTGTACTTGCTGTCCCCTCTGCCTGGAGCACTATTATTGTCACCATGCAGCCCTCCTTCATGTAACTTCCTTCCCTGGGAGGCAATGTGTGTGATGAAACATGGAGGTGAGGAGTGTGGACTGTGGAGACAGACAGTCTGGGTACATGTCCCAGCTCTCCGGCCACAGGCTGTGTGAACTCAGGCAAGCCAACTGGCCTCTCTATGCCTCGGCTCCTGAGCTATACCATGGAGACAATAATAATAACAGCAGCTAGGTATTTTCTGAACACCTACTATGTGCCTCTCAGTGTAAGTACTCAAAGGAGTTTTGTGAGGATTAAGTGGCACTCATCCATAAAGTGCTCAGATAGCACCTAGCACGCAGTAAGTGCTCAATAAACGCTGTTAGCATTAATTGTTCCTGTTATGCACTCTGTAGCCTTCCTTTTGGATTATTTAGGACAACTACAGTATTTGTTTAATGTCTTTTTTTTTTTCTGGCAGCTGGCCTTTACCACGATCCAAACCCTTGACCTTGGTGCTACAGGTGGCGCTCTAACCAGCTAAGCTAACCAGCTTTAGTGTCCATCTCCTGGGTAAGGGTAGAGACTTGGTGTGTATTCACAGCTCTATCACTTCCTCTGGGAGGCTCTCCATGACCTTTCTCAGGCAGGATCAGGTGTCTCCCCTGGGTTCTCATTGTCTAGGATTCTTCCATCCCGGCCCTCGCCCCTCTGCCTGTGCCTCCTCCATCACAACCCTGATTATCTGGGATAGCGGTTTGATCATGGATCTGTCTGCCACCTCTCTCCCACCTGTGAGCCCTGTGAGTGCAGGGGCCAGGCCTGTACTGGTCACCACTGTGTCCCCAGCATCACCCAGCAAGGTTGAGGCACACAGTTGGTGCTCAATAAATGCACACTAATTTGGAATGGCTTCAATGCCCCCTTTCTGAGGCCCCTGGGCTGCCTGTCCCTCACCCACCTCCCAGTTCAGCCCCTATCCCCGTAACACTTTCTGCTGATTTGAAGCTCAGTTAGAGGAACAGGTGGGGAAGAATAAGGGTGGGCCTGCCTGTGAGGGAGGGGAGCTTGGCTGGGGCCCGGTGTTGCAAAGGTTTACACAGTGAGTCAGGCTGGCCCCAGCCTCCCCGTGGGGAAGGCTGAAATGCCAAATGAAAGAATAAATCTTCAGGGGTGGGGCTGGGGGTGGGGGTGGCGCCGGGGGCCGAGGTGCAGGGGAAGGCCGTGGGCAGAGGGGGGGCCCAGTACTGAGGTCATTGCCAGTGCCCAGCAGCACAACAACAGCATCCTGCCCAGCCACGGTCTTGTCCACATCGGCTGCCTGCCGAACGTCACCCACTACCACGTTGGCCGGCTGGGGTCCCTCCGATGGCAGCTTGGAGGAGTCCCGCACCAGCACTGTCACTTCATAACCTGTAGGCAAAGAGGAGCAGAGAGGTGGGTTGGTGGACTTGTGAGCTGGCACTCTTGGGTTCCAGGGGCTGGGTCCTGGAAAGAACCATGAACCCCCAGATCCATCCCCTAGGACCCCTGTTCTGCAGCAGTGGTCTTCAAACATTTTTGCTGGCATACCCACAGTTGATGTTCAGCTAGTTGTTAAAATAGGGAGATACGTTTATGCCGATTCACAAATAATCTGCACTGAGGCTTCCAAGGGCTTTCCCCCATGCCCCCACAGACTTCCCCACCCTTCAGCAACTAAAGGGTTAATGCCTGGCATTGCACTGGTCTATTCCCCCTACAATGGTCCTGGAAGAAACTGAGGTACAGAGGAGGACTCAAGCTGTCCAAAGATTGACTGGTGCTGGAATTGGCCCCAGACTCTGCCCCCGGCTTTACTTCTGGAGGGTCTGGCCCTCCCTTAGTGGTCATTAAAGAGCTTGAATATTGCCTCAGTATGTCCCCTTCCAAAAGAATTTTGGATAACTGTCTCCCCCCAACCCCAACACACACACACATTTTAAAGTTAGCAATTGACATATTTCTTCTTTTCTTTTAAATAGTGGTAAAGGATGTTAATATTTGGGGAATTGTAATGGAAATATTTAAAAAATAAAATTATTGTGGTTTCTGTTGTGGCCTAAATGTCCCCCCCCCCCATTCATATAGTGAATCCTTAACCCCTAATGTGATAGTATTTGGTAGTGGGGCCTTTGGTAGGTGATTAGGTTTAGATAAGGTCATGAGGGTGAGGCCCCCATGATGGCATCAGTGTCCGAGAAGAGGAAAAGAGACTAGAGACCATGCACTTTATCTGTCTGTCTATCACTGTGTAAGGACATAACAAGAAGATGGCCATCTCCAAGCCTAGAAGAGAGCCCTTACCAGGAACTAAATCTGTTGGCACCTTGATCTTGGACTTCTCAGCTCCCAGAACTGTGAGAAATAAATGTGTTGTTTAAGCCACCCAGGCTATGGTATTTTGTTATAACAGCCCAGGCTAACCAAAATAGTCTCTAAAGACCATTCTCCTGAAAAATAAACCAGTGCTCCTTGAAGTGGCTGACTGTCATGCTGGGGCAGGGAAAGAGCAAGATGAGGCTGGAGCATCTGTTAGTGACAGCAGGTAAGGCAATGCTTAAAGAATGATGAGGAATAAATTAAAAAGAAAAAAGAACAAAGGGGATATGCGGAAAGGACACAGAGCCACTTAAAGGGGCTCCCACTGGGCTAATCAGGGACAATATGAGTGTCCAAAAGAATATTGATGGCAAAGAACTGAAACACATCAAATATATAAAAATCTGTGAGTTCATAATGAAACTAACAAAGAAACCTCATTGGTCACCATTGGCATCTATCAGAGGATTAATCCCTTACTCTGAAAATGATAAAAAGGAAAAAGAACAAAATGGTTCCATTTCTCTCGATAGCTGCAATCATCTATGTCAAAAACAAATAATGGGAGATTTTTACACTCTAGGGCAATGATGATGATAATGATGAATAACGTTTATAGAACACTCACTATGTGACAGCTGCCAAGTCTCTCACATATATTAACTCACTTAATCCTCAGAGCAACTTTGAATCACAGTCCTACCACTAGCTAGCTATGTGACCCTGGCAAGTCACTTAATCTCTCTGCGCCTTAGGCTTTGCTTTAGAAAGTGACACTAATCATAGTTTCTACCTTACGGGGTGGTTGTTGGCTTCAGTAATATGTGTAAAAGTTTAGTGTAGTCAGTTGATTTTCAACAAGAGTGCCAAGACAATTCAATGGGGAAGGAATAGTCTTTTTTGCAAATGGTGCTGAGACAAGTGGATATCCACATGCAAAAGAATGAAGTCAGAACTCTGCCTCATGCAACATATACAAAAAATTGTTTCAAAATGATCAAAGACCTAAATGTAAGAGTTAAAATTATAAAACTGGCCTGGCTGGTTAGCTCAGTTGGTTAGAGCATGGTGCTGATAACACCAAGGTCAAGGGTTTGGATCCCCATATCAGCCAGCTGTCCAAAAAAAAAAAAAAAAATATATATATATATATATATATATATGTATATAAAATATATAGCTATATTTAAAAAATATAAAGAACTCCCACAACACAATAATTAAAAGACAAATGACCCCATTAAAAATGGGCAAAAGACATGAATAGACATTTCTTTTTTTTTTTCCTTTTTGTCTTTTTTACTGACCGGTAACGGGATCGCAACCCTCGGTGTCGCGCCCATACCGGGGACTGGCAACGGGATCGCAACCCTTGGCGCTGTGCCCGCACCGTGCTCAGCCAGTGAGCGGGAACCAGTCTCCACATGGGATCTGAACCCTCAGCGGGAGCGCCGCTGCGCTCCCAAGCGGCACACTCTCCAGTGGGCCACCGGGCCGGCCCATGAATAGACTTTTCTCCAAAGAAGATATACAAGTGGACAACAAGCACATGAAAAAATGCTCAATATCATTAGCCATTAGGGCAATGAAAATCAAAACCTCAGTGAAAATCAAAACCCCACTTCACACACACTAAGATGACTGTACTAAAAAAACGACAGATATAAGTGTCAGTGTGCAAGTGGGGAAACAGGAACACTCATACGTTGCTGATGGCAATGAATTGAATAATGCAGCTGCCTTGGAAGACAGCCTGGCAGTTCCTTAAAAGATTAAACGTAGAGTTACCACATGACGCAGCAGTTTTACTCCTAGAGATATGCCCAAAAGAAACAAAAATATATATCACACAGGAAGTTGCACGTGAATGACCATAGCAGCATTATTCATAATAGCCAAAAAGTGGAAACAACCCAAACGTTCATCAACTCAAGACTGGATAAATAAAATGTGGTATGTTATACATAATATTATTTGGCAATAAAAAAATAAATGACATAATGATACACACACTACATTATGGATGATTCTTGAGAAAATGTTTTCTGCTAAGTGAGAGAAGCCAGTCACAAAGAACCAATATTCTATGATTCCATTTGTATGAAATATCCAGAAGGGGTAAATCCATACAAACAGGAAGTAGATGAGTGGTTTCCTAGGGCTGGGGGAGGGGTTGGGCAGGAAAATGGGGGGTGATTTCTAGGGGTTTCTTTTTGGGGTGATGAAAATGTTCTAAATTGATTGTGACAATATTTGCACAATTCTGTGAATATGCTGAAAAGCCATCAAATTGCATATTTTAAATGGGTGAATTGTAAGGTATGTGAATTATAGCTCAACAAGCTGGGTTTTTCTTCCATCCTTTTTTATTTGGCCTGGCAGGTACGGGGACCTGAACCCTCACTCTTGGTGTTACAAGGCTGCACTCTAGCCAACTGAGCTAACCGGCCAGCCCTCAATGAGTTGTTACAAAATACAAAGACGTGGTAGAGCACAGCCAGCACAAGTAAAATTAAGACAAATTAACAAAAGTTTAGGATAGTACTTGACACAGAAATGCGAGGGGTCTTCAAAAAGTTCATGGAAGGATTTGTATTATATTTTAATTCAATTTTTCAATGAACTTTTTGAAGTACCCTCATAAGCTCTATCTGGTTGTTTGCTATTAAAGTATTGTGCCTTTTAATCATCTCATGACTTTATCCTCTAGCCTGATTCAGCCCTGAGTCTCCTTCCTGGTCCCTTTCTGGGTCCTCTCTAGGTTCCTGGGCCCAGTCCTATGCCCTCCAATCCATATTCCACACGGCAGCCAGACCAAGTTTTCCACAGTTATATAAGTGCCTCCTTGCTCAGATCCTTCCTGCAACCCCTCAGTGCCCTGCAATCAAGCCCATGCTCCTCATGACAGCCTTTGAGGTCCCTCAGGATCCGGCCTCTCCTCCTCTCCTGCCTCTGCTACAGCTACTGCCCTCTTCACCCACCACACTTCTTTCAGTTCCTCAACTGCACCAAGCTGTTTCCTGCCTTCTGGCCTTTGCACGTGCTGTCCCCTTTGCCTGCGACACCCTTTGCTCTCTTTCCCCAGGCCCCCTGGTCACTTGAATTTCCTCCTTATGCTGACCTGGAGTAAATCAAGGGCCCTGCTGGTCCAGGAACCGTGTCATGTTCACCACCATCTCCCTGACCCTTTATAAACACAGGCTTTACTGCCCCACGGACCTGGGTTCAAACTGGGCTCTGCCACTTACCAGCTGAGGAACCTCATGCAACACCTTCACTGACTGGACCTCATCTTTGTCTCTGAAATAAGGATCACAACATCCAGGATCCCCACCCTATGTGACCACCTTTCATAAGGGAATGACACAAAGTCTGTGCTGCCCTCACATGTTGGGGAGCGGTGAGAGCTTGTAGGGAGCAAATGTGGCCATTGCTTAATGGCCACGGTGTTGGCTAAAGTGGACCCTAGTAAATTGTGGGTATTTTTTCTTTTTGAGAAACACGTTGCTATGGTCTGAATGTTTGTATCCCCCCCCAAATTCATATGCTGAAACCTACTCAGAAAGGTGATGGTATTAGAAGGTGGGGTCCTCTGGGAGTTGTCTAGGTCAGACCCCTCATGAATGGGATTAATGCTTTTATAAAGGAGACCCCTGAGAGTTAGCTAGCCCCTTTCACCAGATGAGGACACAGGTAGAAGGTCTATGAGGAAGCAGGCCCTATCCAGACACCACCACGCCTTAATCTTGGACTTCCCAGCCTCCAGAACTGTAAGAAATAAATTTCTCTTGTTTATAAGTTACCAGTTTAAGGCATTTTGTTATAGCAGCCAGAACAGACTAAGGTACGTGTTCTTGAGGACAGTAAGAGCTTTGACACAGGTCCAGCACAAGGGTCCCCAACAGTATTACATTACTGGTGATGAGTGACAACATTTATGGAGAACCTTTTATGTGCCAAGGGCTATACAATGCTCTTTCCACGAATGAGGTGTTCAAAAAAAAAAGTTGGGGCTGAGCCCGTGGCGCACTCGGGAGAGTGCAGCACTGGGAGTGCAGCAGCGCTCCCGCCGCGGGTTCGGATCCTATATAGGGATGACGGGTCTGCTCACGGGTGTGCTCACCGGTGCGGCCGGTCTCAAAAAGGACAAAAAAAAAAAAATTAATACAACTCCCATTTAATCTTAAATTTTAAGAGCCACATGTGCCTAGTGGCTACCATACCAAAAACACAGTTTTAGAATTCACAGATTTTGGGGGCCAGCCTGTGGCTCACTCGGGAGAGTGTGGTGCTGATAACACCAAGGCCACGGGTTTGGATCCCATATAGGGATGGCCGGTTTGCTCACTGGGTGAGCGTGGTGCTGACAACACCAAGTCAAGGGTTAAGATCCCCTTACCGGTCATCTTAAAAAAAAAAAAAAAAAAAAGAATTCACAGATTTTTTACCCTTTACGAAGAACAAGAATGTTTGTAAGGTATTTTCAAACTTTTTTTTTTTTTTTTTTACAAATTCTTTATTTACATTTTTCTGTCTATTTGCTTTTGTTTTATCCTTCTCTCTCTCTTTTTGTGTATCTACATATTATATTACATGCATAATTATGTACATGTGTATATGAATACATTTATACAGATACATATGGAAATATATATATATATATACATATAAGTTGTTCCTAACTATTTGAGAGTAAGTTGCGGAGGTCATGCCCCTTTTAAGCTTTTTTATCTCAACCCTCAATACAAAATAGATTTCACAGACCAACCCAGTGCACACAAACCTATATGTACATAATTGAAACAAGTTTCATAAAACCAATATTTAACGTGTGATAACTTTTGATACTGCTGTGAACAATTAAATATATTTTAGAACTCACTGTAACCCACAGTTTGAGAAGCACTAGACTGCAATAACCCTCCAAGGCAGGTACTATTTTCATGCCCATTTTGAGGATGGGGAAACCGAGGCAATTTTAGGTAGCTGGGCCAGGATCACATAGCTAGTAGGTAGAGAAGGCTAAATTTTTACCTATGCAAATCTGATCCAGAGCTTGCAGAATTCAATGCTAGGCTATAATCTGAGTTCACACAGCCAAGGAGTGTTTACTGAGCACCAGTTACGCACTGGACACGGTTCTAAGCATTTTCCATATATTATCTCATTTAATCATCACAAGAACCCCAGGGTAAGTACTACTAATTTCATCCCCACTTTATAGATATCTAGGTACACAGTACCAAGGCATTTGGCCAAACAGGTAGTAAGTGGCAGAGCTGGCCTCTTAAATGTGGGCACGCAGGAGCCAGAGTCTATGCCTATCAGGACTCTTGGCCCTACAAAATCATTGAGGTAAATAAAACCCCAGTTCATTCAAGCCCTTCCTTTTTCCGATGGGGGCATTGAGTTGAGAGCTCTGAAGAGAATTCAGAGCCACAGTGAGAAGGCAGAGCCTCCCCTATGCCCCAGCTCTCAATTCCCCTGGGTGCAGCCCCAGCTGTCACCAGCAGGGTGGGAGAGTGGAACTCGACAGAATTTGAGATTGAAGGGAAGGTAGTAACACCGCAATAGATTATTACTATGACTCAGCACCTCTCAACTTCTCCCTGCTTCCTTCCCCACTCTTCCTAAAATGCTTATCAGAGGCCGGCCCGTGGCTCACTCGGTAGAGTGCGGTGCTGATAACACCAAGGCCACGGGTTCGGATCCTATATAGGGATGGCCGGTTTGCTCACTGGCTGAGCGTGGTGCTGACAACACCAAGCCAAGGGTTGAGATCCCCTTACCGGTCATCTTTAAAAAAAAAAAAAAAAATGATAAAATGCTTATCAGCAAATTGGTTTTTACCAGGGAAGCCAAGGGCTCTCCCCGTCCCAAGTCGACACCCTCACTAGTTCTCACTGGGGAGGGGGAGAGCCATAGGCCTAATGAAATTTCACGCAGAGTCCCTCCAAGGGAGGGCTGAGCTGGAAGGCAGCAGGGAGTGGGATCCTGGCAGTCTCCACCCTTTTGGGGCACGTAGATAGTCAATATCTTTAGAGTCGCCAAAGCCAACAGGGGTGGGGTCCTATATCTGGAAGTCCCAGGCACGGCTGAGAGTTGGCAGAGTCTCCGTGGGGGCAGGGAATGATGCTGGAGGATGGTTATCTCCTTTCCTGCCCCCTCTCCTGGGGCAACTCCAAATTTTCAGCCCTCATTGACTTTCTCAGGACTGGGGGTCCTCAAGCCTTCACTTATGTCTCTGTGACCTCTTTCTATTAGGTGCTCACAGCAACCTGACCCTCAACCTATTCAATTTCCAGCTCCCCTGACCAAGCCAAGGGCCCATGGACTTTTGGTGGTTAAGTGCATGAGCTGGGTTCAAATCCCCGCACTGCCATTTACCGACTGTGTGATATTGGGGTAGTCACTCTTTGGGCCCCAGTTTTCTCATCTGTCAAGTGAGGTAATACTAGTTCTCATCCGATATGAGGATATAACACATGTGAAGAGAGGGCAGCCCTGGGCGGCAAGGTGGTGCCTGGGTTAGTAAACCCTCTCTGGGTGTGCTAACAACCACCACCAGCACCACCAGCACCACCACCACATTTCATAAGAGCCCTGGATTTGCACATAACTGTGTCACTGGAGTCCTCCAGGCTCCCATGGTAATTCCTATGCCTTGGACTAACGTAAAACTGGATCTCATAGCCTCCCCCATTTCTACGCCCATGACCACTTGCTGTGTCCCCCTGAGTCCTCACACACACTTGGTTGGAGCACAAATGGCCCCAACCAGCCCGGCCCAACCCCATGATGACCACTCCTAATGCTATGCCCGTGTACCCCGTGACATCCCCTGCCCGCCCCGATTCATGCCTGCTTGCACCGCCTGCGCCAGGGTGGTGAGCCCGGTCCTGCCGGTGGCACCGAAGAGCGCGATCTTCTTGACCGCCATGCTGCGGGATCGTGGGAATGCAAGGCCTCTAAGTCTCAGGACGCGCGGGAACCCAATGGCTACTCGGCGGTGCTCTCCGCCTTTCTCTAGCCGGAGCGACGGGGCGGAGCCGGCTCGGAGGGCCCAGCCTCAGATCCAGCTAGCTTTGTCCCCACGCCCACTGCTCAGGCCAGGGGGCGAGGCTAAACAGGCCACACCTCCAACTTGGAAGACTGAGGCTGGGCGGGGCAGGACTCAGCTCGCATTGGCTAACCCTCCGCACCGCCCTCTCCGCCCGCCACTTAGACTGGAAGGCGGGGCCAGGTAAGGCCACGCCTCCATCGAGGAAGAGCGCGAGTGTGTGAGGCCGGGAGAGTTTGTCACTCAGAGCCCCGCCTCCGCGCTTTAGCCACCCGGAGCGGGAGAGGCGAGCGCGGGCCTCGCCCACCGGTCTCCTAGCTCACGCCTCTTTCCCCAGCGCCTCCAAATCCATCATCTGGGACTCATGCTATGCCCCATGGCCTCCTCGAACAAGCAAGGGGAGAAAGTGAGGGAGGACAGAGTAGGTGTGTGGGTGTGACACTGTGTAACTGCGTGTCTATGTACATGTGTGTAACCACAAGAGAGAACGTGATTGTGGGTGACACCTTGTGCGGCCCTGTGTAACCCTGTTACAGTGTGACTGTGTATGACCCCATATGTGGCAGGCATTGATGCTGTCGTTTTGTGACCTTGTGGTGACACTGTATGTCAGCCTGTGTGATATGGTGTGAATGTAGGACATGCTTGAGGTATGCTATATGGGAGTGTGTGACTACTAGATTGTGACTGTGCGACACCATATGTGACATGTATGTGTGACATTGCGACCCCATTTGTGTGTGGCTGTAGGTGTTACTGTTCTTGTGATGCTATTCGTGACCCCTTGTAACTGTATGATGTATGAGTGTGTGGCAATGCAGGATGTGAGTGGGTGACTGGCGTGACAAGTTCGAGTGTGTAAAAGTGTGTGACACTGATTGTGAAGCTGTCCGTTGTGTGTGAGTATATGACACTCTGTGACCCCCTGGGAGTGTGTAACCATGTGTGTCATATGTGTGTTTGTTTGTGACAGCGCGTGAGGGCTGGTGGCCCTATTTCAGTATGTCATAGTACGTGACACTATTGGGCCCTGTTCCGGTGTGGGACACCGTGTGGGTGTGTGACAGTGAGACCCCCAGATGAGGGATTTTTAAGGTCTGACCCTGTGTGACCCCATATGAGGGGGTGACACCGAGTGAGTGTGTGGATGTGAAGAGTGTGTTTGTGACGCTGTCGTGATCCCGTGCGTGTGTGGCAGCGTGGGAGTGTGTGACTGTGTGACGCTACCTCTGCCCCTCGCGAGTGCAGCTGTGCATCACACGCCGCGGCCGGGTGCGTGGAGGCGCGTGGGCCAG